TGTGTCTCCAAAGTCTCCAGTAGCAGAAAAAAGTTGCCGTTAGGTGTTTTTTGAAATCAAAGTGCTAGAGGGGTTTGAAAAGTGGCAAAATTTAGCGACAAAAGCGCTAAGTTGGCAACACTGCTCTTTGCATCGTTTGTTTTCAAATGGTTTGCTGCTGTCTGTTTGGAGCTTTCTGAACATGTGCAGCAAATGGACTGATCCAATATGGTGGACACTAATATTATAAGCATTCTAATTGGCATTTTAACCAAAGGATTTTTATCAAGAAACATAATTAATGTGCACAAATAAGGAATAGTTGTATTAACCATACAATTAAACAGAGTTTAATGGGGCCCCCAGGAACAAGAGTTGGAAAATAGTTGAAAAGAATTTATCAGTCCAGAAGCTGACTTGGATTTGAACCCATTCATTCTAGTTTGAGCTGACTTTTCCTCCCATTTTCTCCTCCTGACCTCCTCTTACTATTACTAGCACACAAACACACTCGGTGTGATTGTGCCGTAGGGTTCCACAGTGGGCCCCTTTCACTGCGCCACCCCACGCCCACACACCATCTTCCTCAAAATGTCAGCACCAAGTCGACACAAACACACCATCAGAATGTCCTCAGCAGCTCAGCTTTTGTTTTGCGTCTCGTTTTCCTCCGTCAGTTTCTCCGTTTGCAGCTCTTCCTTCCTTCAGTCTGTTTCTGGTAAACAGTAATTAGGTCTAATTTGCAGTGTGTGTTCCTGCTCATTTAAAGCAGTAATCCTGTCTGCTTACAGGACTTTTCTCTTATCGTTGTCTTTAGGTATTTAATGGTATAGAAATGTATTTTTGCCCCTCCAGCAGAAAAAGGAACTCCTTGGCTGCTTTGTGTGGCTTTTTTGTGACTTGGCTCTGGTTTATTTCTCTGTAGATTTGGAAAATTCCAGCTTCCTATTTCTGGATCCTCCTCTGCCTGTTTTCCTGAAAACATAGTTTTTTTTTGGAGCTTGGTGTTTATAGAGTTCCTATCTGATTTTGCCAGCGCAGCTTAAGCTGTGTTTGGAGACTGAGGCTGAGGTTTGTCCTCTGTGTCCCTGCACTAAAGGCAGCCTGCTGCTGACTGTACCTGTTTGGAACTGGTTGATTGTAAACCTCTAAAGCTTCTGTATTTTATTTATATTTTCCTAATGACTCTACAATCCACTTTGGGATTTTTTTTTCACTGGTGGAATTCTTGTATTCAAAGTTTTAGGTCGTGATGTAAAGATTTTATTCAGGTGGCAGGTGGATGTATCCCTATTTCAGTACAAAGAAATAAGGATACATCCACCTGCAAGGTGGTGAATATACCTGAAGTTAATGAAATAAATGCATAAACCTAAAAATATTCAGTTTGGATTTGTAAATCTTGTTTATGCACAAAACAGGGCCTGAAAATTGCACACGCTGACTTCCCCAGAAAGGTTGTGGTTTTTAAATATAAAACTTGTCTTGAAACTGTGGGACAAACTGACCCAAGCACTCACATCTGCAGGTTTTTAGAGAGAGGAGAAACTGTCTGCATAGATGGTGACTGAGGGGACCTCATGATTTGTCTCAGATGTATAATTTTCATTTATATGAAGCTTAAATAATAGATAATCTTAATCAGAACCAAAACCGCAGTGTGATATAAAATGGCACTGATGGTTAAAATATAAATAAAGTAAAAAAAAAAAATCAAAGCCCTCTAACATGAAGATATTTCCTCACCGTCGTTCCTCTCTGCTTCACCAGTTCATCAGCTGTTAACCGCTGGTTTCTGTGGTTTCTATCTCAGTGAGTTGGGATGAGAGGTTAAGGAGAGCCTGCAGCTGCAGCCATCATCAGGTCATTTGTTTCTGTGCTGTGGTCAGTTTGGAAACCAGACTGAAATGAACCTTTTTTTTTAAATGCTCCTGAAACTGTATGGAGACAACTTTTCGTAGCATCCTAGAGGTTTGAAAAGAGATTACAGTCGGTTAGACTTCTGGGTCATTTCTGTTTAGTTCTCAATGGCCCAATGGCAGCCATTTTTAATAGGAAATACCTGGAGGGATCGAAGGGTTAATGACTTTTATGATGTATGCCTTACTACCATGATGGTTGGAGGAGTCCACAGTGCAGGTGATACATTTCAACTTTTAGACGATGCTCTCATTATCTTGCTGTGAAATCTTTGAAAAACAGCAGAACTAAAAACCAGGTTTGATTTCAGCAGAACCCCAAAATTAAATCCTTAAATTATTGTGTGAATTAGCTAATCTCGAAACATTATCCCATCATTGATTTATTTTAGGTGTTTATGTACAGGTTTCAAGAGTCCCTGTGTTTCATCAATGGAGTTCTTCTTTTAGGGTCATCATCTGACCTTTGAACCAGTTCGGATCTGTTAAGAATGAGGTTAAATGAAGCCTTTCATTCTTGGCTTCCCAGACTGATGGGAAGCAATGATTCCCTAACTTCAATGCTGATACCGTACCACCCTGACGCCATTTTACACAAAGTAAAAAAAACGTCTGAAACAGACCAGTTATTCAATGCATTAATTAGCTTCTGCACTTTGGCTGAATGTTTAGTAGGGCTGTCCCAATCCAATATTGATATCAGAAATTAATCAGCCGAAAAAATGCATGTCAGAATAAATCGGCATGCCTCTAAAACCTCATAGAAACACTTTGCTGCTGTCTGTTGTTGTTTAAAGGTTATATAACTCTTTGGTGAATAAGAAATGGGTCAATTGTTCTGAAATATGATTGAAATTGTTTTCAGATTGAGAAATGTCACTTGAACAAAAACCTTTTCTATCATTGCATGCTACTGAATAGGCAATAAAGGGATGATTCATGCTGCTATTGTAGTGGGTCACCATCGCTATTGGTCAATATGCAAAGCTGCTGTACGGAAAGTGGATTGGAAACAGAAAAGCTGTATCAGGACATCGCTAATGTTTATTATGTCATGTCTAAAGTTGGCTTTCACCCCCAACTAAAGTTCTTTGTAAAAACAGAAGTTCTCAAAACATTAGTTAGTTCTTATGCTCCTGAATCGGCATCAAAGTTTTATAAAGATTAAGTTCTGACTGAGCTCATTTCAGATCTATTTACAGTAGTTTGTTAAATTTTATTTTTTGATGTTTTTTTTTGTCTCCAAATGCAGTA